GAGATTGGAGCAGGAAGGACAAATGAAGTGAACCCTCCACTTTATTCTGAACACCACATCATAAGGCTTTGGTACCTGGGCCAGGCAGGGAAACGCTGGACCTTCTCATCTCCAAAGGTAAAAAAATATCAGTATTAATGTGTTCACTTTTATTTATTGAGTGTCAGGAAGCACAGAGTGCCATTGGGTAGGGGTGTTGCTGATTGGCTAGAGCGGTCAGCTGGCACTCTAAACCAATCAGTAGCTCCCCATTCATAAAAAAGTAAAAATATTTTATGAACCGGGAACTAGCGATTGGCTTAGAGCGTCAACTGACCACTCTAGCCAATCAGCGGCACCCATGCCTGACGTCAATCTGCACCTCCTGACACTCTGTTTCAGAAGCCAAATACCACTGAGCGACCTGGAGCTGGAGGAAGCCTTTGGGGTTAAACCATTTGAGAGCGATTTAACCCCTTAAAGGAAAGCGAGCACCCAGGGGCTTCCTGGCATCATAGCATTTTAATTTAGGTGAAGTTGTTATGGTGACCAGAATGGTCCATTAATTTGCTTAAAGGAACACTATAGTATCAGGAATACAAACATATATTCCTGACACCATAGTTGTGAAAACGCTAGTTACCCTGGCTTTATGTGATAATGGCTGTGCCCCTTCCCTTTCATGACACTGTCAAAAAGGTACCAAGCATGGATGTCATTACAATTATGCCCCCCCCTGGAAAAATTCCTGCGGACACCCATGCGCTCTGACTTGCTTGCTCGCGGGAGGATCACAGCCTCCCAGGTCCTCCTCCTATCCAGCATGCTCCCGGGTCCTACCTCCATCCTGCCCTCTCCCTTAACAAAATGCTAGGAGACCAGTGAGGGAGATCTTTGCCCGAAAAAGGGATAGAGCAGGGCCGTTCCCCATCCTTGCTCTAAAGCTACGTTTGGGCCTGTTTCATGTAAAGAAATATCCAGTACCCCTAAGCACTAGATTGCTGATATGATTAATGTGTGAAGAGTGTGTACTCTTTTTCTACATATAGCACAGATTTCAAGAGAAGTTGTCACTTTTGTAAATTAATCTTGTTATACCCTATGGCTTGCAAGCAGACAATAGATCCTATTACGTTCTGGGTTGCTTAGCTTAGGGAAGCTAAACTCAAGAGGCAAGCAATTGCCCCGAGCACCTACCATACAGAGACTTCTGTATTGATAAGTCTGTTACTGGACAACCACAGAAAATCTTGGAATGACAAGAGAACAAGACAAGACAAGAGAACTGCAGATTTTTCAAGCTGTTTTTAGGTATACCCCAAATGGAAAAAAATCCATCATTAAATGCTTCCATTCATGTTTTATATTGTTTTTTTTTTTTTACTAAACAGTAATTTTTATTTAGGGAGTGGTAATTTCCTTTAAATCAGTGGAGTATTCATAACCTCTACCACACGTTTGTGTTGCCTTGGTATACTTTTCCTTCATCCCTTACAAAAAAAAATCTATTACCAAATCCTGTCACCTTAAAAACTTTTAGATACAACTAAAACCCTTTCTTTTTGCTCTTGCTGTTTACCAACTTTTTTAGTAACCACATGCTTGTCAGATGGAAAAACGCATTGCCTCTCTTCAGTTTAAAATTAATGTCCTTGCCAAACTCATTTACCTTATATCCAGGAATTTTAAAACCTCACCCCTATGTCTGTCTCTACGCTGGCTTCCTGTTTTATTTAGGATTCAGTTCAAAGTTCTTGTGCTTACTTACAAAGCTCTTCTCCCACATTAGAAAATATTTTTGCTCAGCTGATGGCCGGTTACTGTCCCATTCTCACACCCCATACTCTTGCCTACAGAATATATACAGAGTTGCCACTACATTATGGAATGCCCTCCCAGCTACACTAATTTTTGCAATTCTTCAAAACATCCCTTTAGAGGTGCCCATCAGCTCTCCCCTTAAATAGTAATCCTCTGCTATCTTTCTCTGCCATCTCCCACGTACTATGCTCCCTCCTCCCAAACAGCCTTCCCATACTTAAGTATTCTCAAATCACTTGATTCCCTTACATGCCATTGTGTATTTGTACCTCCTCCCTTTAGATTGTGAGATAATTTGGGCAGGGCCCTCTACACCTACCGTTCCCACATGTCATATATGTTGTCTTGTTTTATGCTGTATATATTGTGTATGTTTGTGTGTATTTATACATGTATGTATGTATGTATGTATATTTAAAGTATGTGTGTAGTAAGCAAATGGAATTGTCTGGCACTGGGGAGACTGGAGTCTCTCAGGAACTCTTCCACCCGAACAGGCTGCAGCTCTTTCCTTTCAGGCAGGTATTGTCCCCTCTGTCTTTTCCTCTTCAACTTCTTTCCCAGGCTAGTATTAACACCCCTGCCTGCACTGTAACCAGCTACTGTTTTTACAAAGGCACTTGTGGCTCTCAGGCCTGAATCTCTGTTTAACTCGTCCCAGAAATCAGGGACCAAACCAGACAGCCAACAGGTCTTAAGATACTGTTACTGGATTCCTTGATTAAATCAACCAGGACACACAATTCCCAATGGAACTAACACACTGTACTTTATTTTTAACAAAGACTAGCCTTTACCAACTTGTCCCTAAGCATGTGGTGAAAACCATAAAAATATAAACAAACATACATAACATGAAAACAAACATCATAATACCGTGTCAAATATAAAATACAATCACAACCTTCAAAACTGAATACACAGACATTCAGATGTAACTGGCCAGTATTTTCACTTTTCTAATTTGCATATTGTAAGTATAAAAATTGATGGACTGTGATTTCCTTTATGCTCTTTGATTCTTAATATGTTAGTGAATTAACCCCTAGAATATGTTTCAAAGTTTTAGCATAGCAATCTTTTTGGTTATTTACAAGTTTGGCCTTCTTTCCTGTATCCTACACCCATACTGCTGTTTGCATAGTAGCCTAAAGTCCGAACTCCTCATTTACCTTTTACTACCCTCTCTATACATTAACACTAGGTGTAACTATCTGATTGGATAAATAATAAAAGCATGCCCTGTTAAAAAACTATGTATTTGGATGTGGATTGTGAACAAATTGTGTCTGAGTCTGTGCCTGTTCATGGTGGGCTCTTCCCAGCACTGAAAGGAAAGAGATTGCAGGGCAAACAAGAAATTGCTAAATTACATAGAAGTCCATGGCAAAGAAGTGATCAATTATTTAAAGAGGTCTTCAATTTATTCTTACACAAATTAATGCATTTTCCAGTTTCCCCAACAGAGGGTAATGGAGAGTAATCACAGGCCTGAAAAAAAAATCCCTTTTTAACATAAAGGTATCCCAACCTTTCAAACCCACACCTGGGTGGAAAGCAGCCCAAATCAACTCTGTGTACCTGCTTACATAAAACAGAACCCCACTCAAGGCCAGGGTCCATAGTCAGTGGGAAGGATGCTGATATGCAGTCCTCTCCAAGTGCCAAGGTAACGTTGGATTCTGTTACAGCTACCATTTGAAAAAGAGAAATGGTTCAGATGTACACTTGACAAAACTATAAAATAGATGTCTAATACTGAGAAGACACTTCCACAAGAAAGAAAACCTAGATTGATAAGGAAACCATTCTATCATGGCCAGGGACAACCACACCTATATAAAGAGGAGAAACTTTGGTAATTTTGGAGACAACTAGAGATCAGATTCAAATATAAGACAACCACTTTTAGAAGTGAGAAGTGAAGAAAATGTTGACAATAGAGGAAGATGGAGGCAGACAAGCCATTTTCTTCACAAATGGTGCATTATGACAAAGAATAGCTAAATATATCATATCATTTAAAAAATGGGTATTCACGTGCGTGGTCTGACTAAGCATGGTGCAGGATGTGTAGTTGAAGAGCTCCACACCCCTGGACTTACAAGAGCCCTGTTTTGCCATTTATTAACCTACTGCATGGTGCAAACTAAGAAGCTAAATGCTCCAGGTACCTCCCCATGTAAATTTTCCGGTCCAATGCATGATTTCTTGTCCACACCATCAAGCCTGCGAGGACAATAGCCTTCAGACAAAATTATGCCTGACTCTCCAGGACCAATGAGCGCAGTGGAGTCACTGCTACTGACTGTGCAGTGCCAAATTGACAACCTGGAGATTTGAGGCAGACATGAGAACTTTAGGGTTAGAGGCCTTTCAGAGCCTGACGAAGCCCAATTAGCTGTTACGCTGGAGACCTTGGGTACAGAAGCCCTGCTGGAGATCCAGTTTGACATGGTGCCTCCTCAACAAGATTGCTGCCCGTGAAATGCTGTATGTTGCCTACATGCATTTATTCTTAAGAGGCAAATTATGGCTGCTACCCGCACCATGCCCATGATCTAGTTCCAATAAGCAGAGGTCTCACTATACCGAGACCTGTCCACATTGACACTCAATGCCAGATGCACACTGTGCCCAATCTCCGGGGCACTGAGAGACCAGGGGAAAAAAAACTAAAGGCTTCCCCTTTAGTCTTCAGTTTCACCAGGGAAATACCTGGCAAGTGATCCACTAGCCAGATGACATACCATGGTTCCTACGAATCCTCCATCTGCCAGAAATTAGAGTACTGAATTGGATAATGGAAAATTCGAATGTGCTCTGTAGAGGAACAGCTAGGAAAGTAGAGGACAAGGAGGCTTCTGCTACCCTGTCATAGTGGCCGTGCCCCCTGTAGGCTTCTGATATCATACACAATGTCCTGGGCCCTCCTGACTCTTACCCATTAGCCTGCCAACTAGGGGGATTGTTTTGGGGTGACTCGGATGGGATCAGTGGGATCGGTGGTTGGGTCCCAAGCAGTGGAGACATGCTGCTGTCACCTTTTTCCAAAGTTGTGGGAATATGTTGACCCCACAGTTGATGAGTTCACTTTCATCCGGACTACTCAAGAGTCGCTGGCTTGCCTTGGCTGGGGTGGTGGTCCAGATATATTGCAGCTGCTTCAATATGCCTTATGATGGATCCCACATGCCCTGAGTGGCCCTACCGCACACAATTGATACATCAGTGGCCATTTTATCCTTATGGTCATGCGTGGGCTATGAAGTGTAGTGTATGGTGGGGCTTCTGGAGATGTGGGGAGGAGATGGACACCATCTTGCATATCTGGTGGTCATGCTCAGGGATTATACAACCATTCTGAAAGTGTTTTATACTGATCTACCATCATAGAAAAATGCTGATATCTAAATATAAAAAGTCCCTGACCAAGCACCTTTTGAATGCACGCCCAACATTTGCACAGATTGGATGTGTGTGGAATGTGATCTCAAGGTTCTCTTCACCGCCATTGTTGATTTTATAACCTAATTCTGTTACACTTACTGCATTTGATGTTTATGTATTAGCATGTTCAAGAAAAGACAGATATGGTGGGCTTGCACATCCAATACGTTTCTTCACAAAAATGGAAAATTAAGATTGTCTAAAAAACAAAAAACAGGTATTCAATAAAATTCATGAAAAAACCTTTGCCACATTTCCTGTATTCAAGAACAGCAGAACCAATAAGGAATAAGCACTATTCTCAGAAGAAAAAAATAGTAATAGAAGAAATCTCTCTCAAAGAGCAGTTTCAGGGGGCATACTCCAGACTTCTTTTTAGTGCCAAGTCCAATGGTTCTTACCATTGAGTATTAGATATCAAAAGAGTCAACAGAGGTATAGAGTATCAAAAGTTTTCTTCTACAGACAGACAATTTCATGGCTACATTAGACCTTAAAGACGCCTACTTACATGTACCAACGGCAGCAACTTCGAGAAGATTCCTCATTAGTGATGTCCCGAACGGTTCGCCGAACGGATCGCCGCGGACGGCCAACATATGCGCTGTTCGGTCCGCCCCCTATGTCATCATTGAGTAAACTTTGACCCTGTACCTCACAGTTAGCAGACACATTCCAGCCAATCAGCAGCAGACCCTCCCTCCCAGACCCTCCCACCTCCTGGACAGCATCCATTTTACATTCATTGTGAAGCTGCATTCTTAGTGAGCTGTCCAGGAGGTGGGAGGCGGACCGAACAGCGCATATGTTCGCCGTCCGCGGCGAACCGTTCGGCGAACCGTTCGGGACATCACTATTCCTCATATTTACTGTGAAGGCAGGAAACAGAATTCAGCAATTTTAATTCAGAGCTCTATGTTACGGTTGCCTCCAGGCTGGCTGGAAATTGAACCGCTTAGATGTCCTGGTTCCTGATCTTGGAGAGTGAGAGCGCTGCTCTGAACAGCATACAGCACTATTCCTAGAAATGTAGAAATCCCACTAGCTATGAGCAGAGCTAGTATAACACCTTTCCCTACAACACGAGTCGAGGCTGCGAGTTGAGGGTAAAACAAACTGGTTTAATGGATGCTCATGCATGACTTTAAATACAAGTTTTCAGGCCAGAGGAACAACCCTCTGGACCTGATGGTACACAGGACAATGCAATGTCACAGCCAATAGGAACAAAGTGCATTTTATGAAACACTCCCCCTTACCCTGGAGATAATTGGTCTCAATGGTTACAATAACTCAATTATCTCCAGGTACATGAAGTAACCACACTTTCTTATACACAAGAAAACAGAATAAAAATGGATAACTTTTACAGTATAATACTTAAATATCACATTCAACCCATCCCCAGACAGCTTGGATCTGAGCGCACAAAAATATACGAATTGCGCTCAGATCTCATGAATGGTGTATGAAAGACATGGGGATAAAACATCTGTATGGTTATTCGACTGTTAGTAGTCCGGGGGTTCTCGGCTAGGTGATCTGGTCAGGGATTGGTATAACTCTCGGAGATACAACTTGTCGAACGGCATATCTTTCGTAACTTATTGCCCGAACGGACAGGTCAAGCTGTATCCCAGCAGGATTCGTGCAAACTATTGTCCGAGAGTAGTACCCTGAGTTTGACGATCAAGTCCCTCTGGGCGTTCGACGACAAAAGATGGCCACTGCCACGTGTTCGGCAAACGAACAGCGACCACCCTGGCGATAAGTAATTATGTTGCGGTTAACCACAGAAACCGCAGCTTCAAGGTGGTTAATTGGGGGCACACGCCAGGGGCCAGGTGGTCGGTTAATCCGGGAGTTATTTCGGCTCTTTTTCGGTACTCCATTCGACCTTTTACATACGAACGGTGACCACCCTGATAACAGACAATTAGGCTGTGCTTAAACAAACTGCAGCTCCTGGGTGGTTGATTGTCGGCACACTCCTCAGGTATGGTGGTCGTCCGTTCGTCGGTTGGTTCAGTGAAAAGAAGGTGAACAGGGTTAATTAGTGGCACACGCCAAGGACTGGGTGGTCGGCCATTCGTGCATACGAATGGTCTGTAAGGGTTGTTCGTATACAAAGTAGCAAAGTAGAAACAAAAGTAACTGAGTTGTAGTAAACAGAGGGGATCTCTGTAACACTCTACATTTGAGGTTGGCAAAAGTGCCCAGATTTTTCACTAAAATCTTCACTCCCATTGCAGCAGAATTAAGTAAACAATGAGTGGCAGGGGTGCCATATTTAGACAACCGGTTGCTAAAAGTTCCAAAGAAACACTATATTTTGGAAAAACCTTCAGCAAACACTCCATATTCTTCAAACCCATGAGTGGATAATACACTGGAAGAAATCAAATTTGACCTCCGTTAGAAAGATTTATTTCCTGGGATTAGTCATAGACGCTTGAAAGCTAAAAAAATTTCTACCAGAGCTGAAACTTATAAAGATATGATCAGTCATAAATATCCAGAAGCATCCAAACTGTTCTATTAGATTAGAGTCATCACAGTTAGACTAAAACAGAATCTTGTGAAATACCATTACCACCAAACAGTTAAACTTAGCTCCAAAGAACCTTATTGTTCTTAATTCAGTTTTAGCTCAGCATTCTGCATTTTAAGCTGCATGTAATGTGTTACATTCTAGCGAGATTCTAGATTGTGGTCCTTATATATGTGTGTATATATCACCTTTTAGCTCACAATATTTTACATTGGTGATAGTACCCACAAATCTTTGGATAAAATCACCCCATGTTTGAGCATAACACACAAAAAATTTTTTTTTATTTTTTTTATTTTTTTGTGTGTTTAAATGCATGTAACTTTTTGTTACTACAAATATGTTTTTATCAATACATAGGTATTACACTGTGTACATTTTAAAATTTTTAAAGCACCAAAAAAATAACAAATAAATCATTTATTCATATAATTCTAACATTTTTTAGTTGGTTTCTAAAATATTATCTTTGATACTGAGGAATTTTCTCTGTCAGGCCTTTTCCCTTACCATGGCCTATTGTATCAATTTGCAACTCTCTGTATTTCTCCTCTTCCCCAAACCAGCTGGTGAGCAGCCCCAATAAACAATGCAAGGTTCAAAGTGACTTCTGACATTAAATGAGCTGTGTAACAGGTAATATTCAGCAGGAAACAGAGGTGGTCTTTACAAACATTATCCAATCCTAATAAAATCATCTATCTTATCTTAACATCTTAACCTGTAGCAAGCTTGCAGGTGTATCTTCATGTTCGGGCCTTGCTCAAAGCTAAGTTTTACTTTAACTATGCACTTAGAATTAATATGTAGATGCACTTAGAATTAAAGATATTACCTACGCAGTTCTAAATTACACATTACTATGCAGTTACTTGTTACACGATGTTCTATAGCTCTTATCTAGGGGTATATTAACTAAGCATTGTATATAGGCAAAGTATATTATTTCAAATAGCTGACATGTCCAAGTTAGCCAATTTTAAATAGACTGAGCATCCTGTCATCTGTAGCTTGAGCCTTGGGTCAGTATAGGCCGAGTGTATTGTTCCCAACAATCTTAGAGGTATTTTTATGGTGGGTTACCTCAATACCAGCACCATTAGCCAGTTGTGTGTCAAAATGTATGTTATTTTTACTAAAATACTTTGACAGTTTTTTTTTCTTTTCCGATTTCAAAGCTATATTTGCCTAAGTAACACAGCCCTGGCAAGCTGGGAAAGTGACGCCTTCTCACCAATAGCCACTCAGACAACCCCAGAAAGTGGGCTCCTGCTCAGCAATAAACACCCATGCATCCTTGGAAACTGACTATGAACCCCTCAAGGAAAGTGCCCTTGCTAGCAAATAAGCTACCATGAATCCCAGGGAGGTAAAACTTTCCAATAGATGCCCCAGGTGCCCCAGGAAAGTGTTCTCTGTTCACAAATAAGTGGGGTAAGTGGCCCCTGCTTGCCATGTGATGCCCAGGCTCTACAGGAAAATTACCCCTGTTCACCAATATTTTTAATTTCCATGAAGGGTTCCAAGCAGTATTCTGCAAGCAGGGGCCACTTTCTGGGGTTGTCTGGCTGTTGGTGTGAAATGGTATTTTAAAGAGCACATAAATATTTGCCTAGGCAAAACCTTTTTGCCCAAAGTTACTTAAAAAAGAAGAGACAGCATAAATTGTGGTTTATTAATTAAAAACCAAATTATAGTGACTGGAATTTCTTAAGTTAAAACCCTGAAAATGTAACTTTTAGGAGATATTTCTTTTTTTACTCTTATACAAAGAATTATTCACCAAAGTGTAGATTGTGGTGAATTTACAAGAGCATAGGATATTGCAATAACTTTGTTATTTTCTAAACAGACGATTGTGGAAAATGTACAGTTAGTTGTATTTTTTGCCTAATACCTACAATTAAAAGAATACATACATTTTAATGCAACTGTTTACCATTAATGGTTTAGTGAATAAATATATCTGAATGCAGGGATATTGTATTTCCATAAGGTACATTCTTCCTTCTGAAGTCAGTGAAATGAGTACCAAGATTTTGGGGAATAAGAATAAACAAAATCATGGCATGACAGCATGAATACTATCATTATAGAATAACCCAGACACAGATGGGGGAACAGCATAACTACTATCACTATCAAGTGAATAGGATAATTTTTTCAACTTGGCTACTTTGGCATTATATTTTAAATTCCCATCTCAGTTCCCTCTTTATTGAGTAGACCCTCTAGTTTCTACATTTGCAGCATATCCCACAG